TAATGTTAGTACATAAAGATTAACGGAACTTTTCATTTTCTGCGCATAGACTTATGATTATTGTCCAGAAAATAAAAAAACCGTAAATTTATTTCATGCTCACCGAGAATTGAACCGTTCACCCCTACCTATCTATTCCTATACCTATAATACTGGGACACCCTATCGAGAAATTTAATAATAAATAAGTTAGTATACTAAAAGTAAAAATAAATATTATATATGTAATTTTATACAATGATGCGTTTATAAATAAATCGGTGATGGTTTTTTTATATCAAAACTGGTGGTAAATATACTTGTATTATATATATATTCGAAAAGATGGCAATTAGAATGATACAACTTGATATGGTGTTGTGGGTAAACCCTTCGTGATAATTTTTAATATAATAATATTATATAATATTAATAATAATATATATAATTTATTATTATACAGACGCAACGTACACAACACACCAATAAACGCGCGTTTTTCGATTTACTTTTTTCATCATACTATTATGGTCATTATAGGCATAATGAAAATGTTAAATATAATCTTATTTTGTAGATAATTACAAAATTTGTAATGTTACAAAAAATTACAAATTACGTAATTACAAATTATGTAATTACAAATTACATAATAAATGAATTTACCAATTCAACAAAAATCCATGGTCCGATAACGCTAGAGGCACGACAGGTATCGTTTGTATCATTATAGTTATTACCATGGTATAACAGCGTTTCCCAAACTGTGTTCCGCGGACCCTTAGGGCTCCGCATGTATACCGGAGGGGGTCCGTGAAAGTAAATTTAAAATTTACAAAGTATTATTATATATTATTTTTTTTTAATTTTTATTTGTACTAAGGGGTCCGGCCATTATTATTATCCCCAAGGGGTCCGATAGAAAAAAATTTTGGTATTTGAAATTATGTTTCGTTAATAAATAATAAATAATTGATCACAAGAAAACGTTATATACATATATTTTGGTCTTATTTATTTATTTTTTGTTTAACATGGTCATTACTCATTACAAATTGAACTACGCATCGAAGTCCTTAATGTAACTAAATTATCCCGAACTTCATACGATGACACATAGAAATTAAAATGTGTAGTCAATTTTGGGATCCAAACAGTACTTCGCATACAGGTTAATAATTTACATTAGATGTTCAATCTAAATGTGCCTACGTATGGAAGTCTTTTTTGCGATAAGCTTTTAGTGATGCTCATGAGATAGCTAATGGATATAAAACGAGGAGGTCACATTTGAGATCTAAACAGAATATCACATAGTAGTGGAAGTCACACTATTGCACACCGGGTATTTTCTTAATAATAACAAGTAATTATGGTAGAATTAATTTTTTATTTGTAATTAATTCATGTTAATTAACTAATTCTTCTTTTGGTTAAAATTACATATTTATTTGTATCATATAGCGACGCAATCAGAATTTGAATAATAAAAGTTTGATTTTTTTTAAAAATAAGTAAAAATTGTTTTTTTAAATAATAAATGAAAATTGTTTATTTTTCATGTTATATTTATTTTTGCATATTTTTGTATTTTTAGTGCATATTCAAACCCTTATATGAATATTTTTAAGAGCATATTAAAGAGCTTACAACTACTTTTTTTTAGAGCTATAAGTTATGAGCCTGGTTATGATTAAATAAAAATGAATGTCATTAGAATAAACGAAGATTTTGCATTTTCAACTGGAAATTGTTTGAAATTCGCCGAAATAGTATAAATTACTTCAATCCAAAATATTAATATTAATCCCGTCGGAGATACATCATTACAAATCCTTTCTTTACAAAAATGAATTTTCCTGTACTTCAATTTATTGTAGAAATGAAAAAGAAAATCATAAGACCGATTAACAAACAACCAAGTTGACATTTATAATCTTGTGGTACACGTATGATCGTGAATAGTGTGTTACACATTAATGTACAGAGGCTGTTGTAAGGCATTGTGCCCACATTCAAAACTGTGCGTTGTTGGAAAAAAAACAAACCCTGTTTACTCGAAACTAAAGATCTTATAAAACTTATAATTTTACGAGTGTTGTAAAATATTGCACTTTTATGACAACAGAAAATTCGAATTCGGAAAACTATTTCTTTGGTATATTATAATCTCTCTACAAGCTTAACAATGTCCAAAGTTTTTATGTCATTTAAATCGATTTCGAATAAACGTACAGAACTCGAATTAGTAATAATAATGACGCCGCAGTTAATATATTATAAGAACCGAGGCGTGGATGTACAACGGTAATAAAAATAATTGTAAACGATGAATTCTACGAGTTCTTGGGTTTCGGATTCGGAGGAAACTTGTTCAACACTCGCATAGTCGTAGCGTTACGCAATATTATTGCACGTACAGTAAGAACACAATCATAATTAAATTTAAAATCAATAATTAGACGCGTTGTATATTCATTTCGCAACGACGCACAATGTTTTATTTCAATTTGTTCGATTGAATGGACGCCTAGTGGTAGGCTCAGGCCAGAGCTATCGTTAGGAAGGAGAGTGAGTAAGGCCCAGAACCTGGGTCTCGCGTTTGAAAAAACAAGTAAAATTGGTTTTAAAAATTGTTTTATTTTCATTTCATTTAAATCGTATATGTTATATACTCGTAAATAATAAAATATCGAAAATATTATCAAAATAATGAAGTAGGTTTAACCATTGATTATAGATAGTATAGATGGCTCACTGGATGGTTTTTCGATGGCGTAGATTATAACTGCCGGTAGATAGCGATAAAAGAAATAAATTTATTTAAATTAATATTTATAAAATAATCCCGTATAGCTTCGTATCGAACCAATGTTGGTGTGCGTCGGGTGGAAGAAACAGATAATTTTCTATTACTTATTAGATAAGAATATCATATCCGATGCGCGACGGGCGAAGACAAATAGGCCGAGCTGTTTCCGTACTATCGCATCGTAATCATTGTTTATTATATATTTTGTATTATAATTTATTTATTTAATAGAAATAAGTAATTATAGTATTTATAAAGTATATGCTCGGTACTTACCTCCGTCTTATTGTAATACTTATTATTCTTTGTTATATTTAATTTAATTGATTACTGATAATTACAATTTTTAAAGTGAATTTTTTTTTTATTATTGTATTCTAAAATCTCTTATTAGTCAGTTTAAGAACATATTTTTTCGTAAACTTGAATTTCATATAATTTTACACTTGGTGTACATAAGTAAATGTGATCTAAATAAAAACAAATTAAGCATGACTTCAATTAATTTATTGTTATACAAAAATTATTGATTTACAATTTTTAAAACATTTTAGAAAATAATTATTATATATATTAATTATATTAATTAATATATATTTACGATATTTATTGGCATCTAAATTATGTAACTGAAGTCCGGGAAAAAAGAAAGTTTTTTACCCCCAAATTTTACACCCACGATGAGTACTTGTGTGAAATATGCACCTATAACATCTGTGGACGTTGAACGATCGTTTAGTACTTATAAAATTATATTAACTGAAAAAAGAACCAACATGACCCCACAAAATATGGAAATGTATTTTGTAATTAATTGTTATGAAAACAAAAAATAATAGTTTTTTTATATTTAAATATTTTTTTGATTTAATTTGATGTTGAAAGGTTCAACATTTCTATTTTATTATTTGTTTAAACTGTTTTAAAAACATATAATGATATTTTTTTTTATATATATAAATATTTTGTTGATTTAATTTGATGTTGAAAGGTCCAACACTCCTAATTTTGTTATATTTGTTATGTTGTAAATTTATTAAGTTTGTAGTTGATAAAGTAATATAAATTTATAATGCATATTTTGACCCTTTTTCTTTGCATATTTGCATCATATTTGCCACATTTTTAGTGCATATAATTCCGGTCTCTATTTATAATCAATGACATTACATACAATAATTGTGTATCCCATTACAATACGTGTGTACAAATTTAACGCCATCGCCACCGCGGCAGTGTGTGGGGACCTTAAATCTTGTACACAACGTACAAAAATAAAAACCAGTTTACAATAATCAAATACAGATCTAGTGAGTTTCTTTTAAAAATAAACGACTGAAGATTATTAATTTCCCACATTGCGCCGTCGCTAATCAACGCAACTACAACGATTATAACGATGCCGACCACAACTAACTTGCGCCCGCAGCGCCATATAACGTTACCGACCAAATAGTACGCCACCGAAAAACCATCCAGTGAGCTATCTATACTATCTATAATCAATGGTTTAACGCAGTGGCGCCGAACCCTATATACAGGTGGGGCGACCGCCCCACCTTTAAAAGTGGATGGGTGGTCGTAGATTCCAGGTGGTTAGGGTGGTCGTGGGTGTGGATGAGAGATGTTGTGATATATAAAACGTTTTCACTACCTATAGTAAGTATTAAGTAATAAGTATAAAGTTAAAGTAAGTACTAGGTACTTATGCAGTTAACAGTTATGAATACCTAGAAGGCTAGAACCTAGGTATCTATTGCATTATTACAGTATGTCAGTAGTCAGTATTACTGTAACTTATCATATAAACTGTTACCATAATATTAGTAGCTTGTGTAGTTGTGTCAATCGGTTACTGTATACGGTTGTACATATATTATGCAATATGTATAAACGATTTTTTATGAAAGTGTAATGATATCAATACAATTATTTATGTGACATTTTATACGAGTTATTACGAATTACGGTTACCTCTACGTATGGTTTAGAAATGGATAAAAGTCAAAGCCAAAATATTTGCCCATATATCTACTGATAGTTTGATTGAATATTATGTAGGTATTGTGGGATTATTTATCGTTGGCCGTAATCGGGAAAAAAATCTAAAATTATCTCTAAATCCAATAACACCAGTCGCGCCATCATATTATATTGTTATGTACTTATGTGTACGGACTACGGACGTACGCCGTACGGTCGGTATACGTCTGCGACGACGCACTATTATATGAAAAATATTTTTAGACTGTGATAAAACTGATAAATAATATTATTATTATGGTTAATATTATTGTTATGCGGGCTACAAGCTACGAGTCTACGACTATTCGACATTCGTTAGTCAAACACTTATGCCAATACTTTCTTTGAATATTGTTCTACCTAGTACGTACCTTTGGTACCTTTTACGTGATATTCATATTTACTAATTACTTTTATAACTTCTTATTTATATAAAAAATAAATAAATACGTAATAAATATGTCAGAAAAGTTTATAATATGCGTTTGTGGAAAAAAACGGGAGCAACTAAATATCACCAATTGGAAAAGACATTTGGACAATTGTAAGGCACGAAAAACTAAAATGTCTTCTCAGCCAATTTCTTCCTTTTTTCCAATACCGAAAAAAGTCCGAATGAATACAGAATCTAATTATTCTTGTTCTAATGGTAAGTATTACTATTTACTTGAATCAATAGTTTTTAAATTTTAATCAGTTAAATTAAATTTAAATTTAATGGGTAATAGGTATATAGTTATAATTAGGCTCGGAAGTTGTAGGAGTTGCATATTTTTCTGTATGCTCTTAATTTATAGAAGACCAAGCTAGAAATCCGTTCTATACAATGACAAGTTTAAATATAAAAATTAAAAATGCTTTTTTTTTGCATATTTTGTCAATTTTCTAAAAAAAGTGCATATTTCTCAATTTTCTTTGGATTTTTATGCTTGTTTCATATTTTCAAAAAAAATTTATGTTTTCTTCTAATAATTATGGTTTTATTATTTTATTTTCGATAAAAAAATTAGTAAAACTTCATACAACTTTTATTATATATATATATATATATATTTAGATTGAAAAAATTACAATCCATCAAACACAAAACATTAAGCCAAACAAAAAAAAATATTTATTTTTGCATATTTAACATTTTTCATGCATATTTTGTCTTTTTTAGCTCCTATAACTTCCGATCCCTAGTTATAATATATTATAATATTTAATATATTTGTATATTTAATAAATTGAATGAAAACACTATATTTAAGTATTGAACATCATCATTACAAAATTGCTATCTGGGGAATAAAAAATACATAATTTATTAATAATTATTAATTACTTATGACTTATCTAATGGCTAGAAATGTATTATAATTTATGTATTTATAATATAAATTTAATATATTATAAAAATATATAATATAATATAAAAATAAGTTTACTTAAATAAATCATGTTTAGTTTTCCCAAATGATCCAAGCTCCAGTGTTCATAGTGATAAGCCAGTTGAACAGAGCATGTCTACACCTAGTTCTTTTAAAGAAACTGGTAAGTACAAATCTTATATTTAATAATATTTACTCGTGTATTCAAAAAATGATTGAAAATGTAATATATAATTAGATTTTGGATAAAATAATTATTTTATTTTGTTTAAATATTTTTCAGTATTTCTAAATGATTCAAGCTCCAGTGTTCATAGTCATGAGCCAGTAGAACAGAGCATGTCTTCACCTAGTTCTTTTAAAGAAACTGGTAAGTACAAATCTTATGTTAAATTTAAAAATTTAAAAATTAAATTAAAATTAGTTAAAACTAAAAATTGCTTATACAGAATTATATTTATAGAAATTGAATTTGAGGATGATCCTGCTGCTTTTAGCCAAATAAAAGTATTAACACCAGATCTTATTGACTATTTTTTCAAAAAAGGACCATCTCAACCGTCTTCAAATGATCTTCCCAGTAAAATATTTCCAAAAGATATCCATGGCCGATGTTTTCATGAAAACTTGTATTGGAAGAATTCTCCTAGCGGAGAATTGTCTAGGAGAAAGTGGCTATCATACTCAAAAAAATTAAACAAAATTTTTTGTCATTATTGTGCTCTCTTTGGAAAAAATGAACAAATAAACTGGAGCCGTGAAGGGTTTTCTAATTGGAAAAATGCATCTGCCAGAATTGTTGTACATGAAACATCGGAAGCACATATTATGGCATCCCTCAAAGCAATCTACAGGGAAGCAGCTTTTCCATTGATACCATCTTTAACAGAAAAATCTGCAATGATTGTTATTCAAAACAAGGAAATTGTTAGTCATTTAATTGACATAACATTGTTCCTTGGAAGACATTGCCTATCATTTCGAGGACATAGAGAAGGCTGGAAAGATGAAATACGCGGAAATTTTAAAGATCTTGCAATTCTTTTGGCTAAATATTCTCCACCATTGGCAATGCATATTAATGAAATTCAAAACTGTGGGAGAAAGACTCAAAACTTTTTATCGTGGCAACGGCAAAACCAACTGATACAAGCCATTTCAACAAATATTAAAAATGTCATTCAGCAAGAGTTGTTTAATGCTCATTACTTTAGTATTTCATTAGACTCAACCTTCGATATATCAAAGAAAGAGCAGTTATCTATGGTTATCAGGTATATTAATAAGAAAACTGGTATAGTATGTGAACGTCTTATTGCAGTACGCCAGGCAATCTCTACTACTGGAAGACACTTGTTTACAATGTTTGAGGAAATTTGTGGTGAATTAAATTTAAATTGGAAGGAATTTTTAGTTGGGCAATCGTTTGACGGAGCTGCATCAATGCGAGGCCAATATAATGGTCTTCAGTCGTTCATTAAAGAGCAAAATCAATGTGCTACTTATGTGTGGTGTTGGGCTCATCGCTTTAATTTAGTGATTGTTGATGCAGTAAGTTGTTGTATTGAGGCACGTGATTTATTTGGCAACTTAGAAATGCTATACGACTTTATTGGAAGTAGCAAACACCGTGTTAATCTTTATTCTAGTTACCAAAAAAAAATTATCCAGGAAAGCCGTTAAGACAATTAAAGAGAGTTGAAACAACTCGTTGGTCATCACATGCATCTGCACTACAAACTACTTTTGATACGTTTGATGCTATAATTTATACTTTACATAGTCTAGAAATTGACGATGCCTCTCATCGTGTCTGCAGTGTAAAAGCTAATGGCTTAATGGAGTATTTATTATCAGAGCGTTTTGTTTTGACTGGAATGTTGTTTATAAAAATATTTGATATGACCAGTCCACTTAGTAAATTCCTTCAAAAGAAAAATATTGACTTATTAGCTGCGGTTAACTATGTACAAAATATACTTACTAGAATTAAAAATCTTCGAAATGATATTAAATTTGGAAATTTAATTGATCAAAAAAATAAATTTATTCAATCTAAACAAAATGATTATTCTTTTACTCCTATTGTTTCAACGCGAATAAAACGCATAAAAAAATGGTTGGCGAATCAGCATCAGATGAAAACATTACTGACCCTATTGATCATTTTAGAATAAAAACGTACATTGTAATTTTAGATATTTTGACAACACAAATAAGTGAACGTTTCAATGAAAATCTTTCACCATTGTATAAAGACATATCACTTTTTCAAAGAAAACGCTTAAGAAAAGTTGAAAAACTTTCTTCTAGTTTACCTGTGGATGCATTTAATGCATTTGGTAGTATTTATGGGAAGTTTTGTTCAGCTGACATTCTTAGAAAAGAATATCTACAGTTTTGTAGTGTATATTTTAGTTTTGAAAACCTAATAAAACTTCCCCAAAAATTTCATGAGAATGATATTTTACATTATGACACAGAAGAAGAAGAAAAAGAAGAAGAAGATGAAGAAGAAGAAATTGAAACAGCTGAAGAAAACCAAAAAACCATTAGTACCATTTATGCAGTGTGTCATTCTACAGGACTTAAAGATGTTTTTCCAAATATTTATATTGCTTTAACTATAATATTAACGCTTCCAGTTTCAAGTGCCAGTCCAGAGCGAGCATTTTCAAAATTGAAATTAATCAAAAACCGATTAAGAAGTACTATGAGTGAAGATAGATTAGAAGGACTAATGTTGATAACATGCGAGAGGGATGTTCCAGTAAACACAGATGAAGTTATAAAAATATTCGCTTCATACTCTACAATTTTAAACAAACAACTATTATAAATTTATTTTATATCTTATATTTTTTTTATATTTATTTATTTTTAAGTTAAATTGTTAAAACAAAGTGTTTAATCTAAAAAACTGATTAATAAATAACTATTAAATTTATTTGTTTTTTAGCATTACAAGCCATTAGGACCTTTTACTGTCAATACTAAATTCTTTTATCCTTCATCCTCCTTCAATTCTTCCATTCTTCTTCAAATAACTATTAAATAAATAATACAAATTAAATAACAACTGTATATTTACTTATATATATTAATCACTGTATATTTTACCTTAACTGCTCTATTTTATAAGAAATTAAAATTTAAGTAAACATGGCATTTCCATGTTTGTCTGTTATAATAACATATATTGGCTACATTTGATATACACTGTTATTGTCAATCCTTGTCAAATTGGTAGCACGGAGCAATGCAATATGATTTTTCCATTTTGGGTGAGTACATAATAAACGTATTTAGAAGGGGAGAACATGTTAGAAAAAGTTTATGACCTTTTACGTTGCGAAAGAGTAAGTAGTGGGGCAAGAGAGGGTATTTGGGTGCAGGGGTGGGTCGTGGGTATTAATTTTTGTACTTTGCCCCACCTATAAAAATTGAGTTCGGCGCCACTGGTTTAACGTATAAAATTACTGAAATATCGTTATATTAAAATAACGTTATCGTTGTCGCAACACATGTATTATACTGTGATTATACTAATATCATAATATATAATGGTATTAATTATTTAATAGTAAAATAGTGTTAAAACAGTGACTGCTATCACAATATTATATTCACCATCAGCCCAGTTTACGATAAAAAAAAGTAGAAATCACTGGTATCTCAGTATCTGAATAAAAATATGCAACAGCTACTTTGGAATGACTGTGAAAAAATCATTGCTGCTGCTCGAACGTAAACGATGGGTTTCAATTGTAATACTAAGTTTCCTCGTCTGTGTTGTACTTTTATAGCCTTGTACTTCTATACAGTTTTCGTGACTCACAGATGAGGGGTGGGGAAAAAAGTTACGTTAATTACCGCATAAGTTTGAGTGTAATTCAAAACTCGAAAATTTTGTTGAATAAAAATAAAATACGTCTTACAAAACAATGGTATACGCCAATACAACATATAACAATGGTAAGTAACGATATAGGCGACAACGGTTTTATCCGCCCTTGTACAACAATCGCTTTGTTCATTAGTGTTGCACAACAATATAGTTTCTGTCATTGATATCAGTATCGTATGGCGATATCGTAAAATAAACGATAACGATATCGAAAACCGATTAATCGATAAAATCAAATACACATTTATAAATAAGTAAAGGCAACTACCTAGAACGATAAAATTTAAAAGACGGAAAGCTTTTTGATAAGTTTTTTATTGATATATGTCATTCATACAAAAAAATAATAATAATAGAAAACTTCTTATTTTGTATTTACAAAAAATTATTTTATGTTTACTTAATTTTCCAAAACGTATAGTTTTAATTAGGGTACTTCATAAAAATTATCATTACACGTTTTCATTAAAATGTGGTGGACATCCATTGAAATTTTTCCGAAGTAGGCTAAATGCTAAATAAGCAAGAAAGAAAATTCAAATTGATTAAGGTACAATTATATTTAGTTATTGAGGCAGTAAATTTTTATTGCTTAAAACCGTAAAAAAGTTACATCAATATCTGGATATAATTTTTTTAAAACTTAAAACAATGCAATATTTATTTTATTGACGAAATTTTCTTTTGGATTTGTTATGCTTAAAAAAGTTTTAATATGATAGAAAATAGAAATTGTAACAACTTAATACCGATATCAAAATACTTTCGATTAATTAGTAACATCGATGTTAGTAAAATTGGTCCGGTACCGAATTACGATATCGTTGCACAACATTAATATTTATACTATACATTTTAAACGTCAAGCTGTAAAAGTAATGATTTTGCACCGAACGTAAATCAAAAAAAGATTTTAGACGTGCGTTACGCCAGCACCGTCCATTAGGAAAATTTGATTTTTTTTCTATCAATAATTAGCACGTAATTAGCATGAATTTGCATGACCAATTTCGCAATTTGCATGTCATCCATTTCTCCAGAATCGCAAAAATTAACGGGCGGTGCTGGCGAAACGTTTCGCCAGCACCGCCCAATCGCAAAAATGGAATTTCATATATTTTTTCATAGCTATTATTTAGCACGCAATTAGCATGAATTTGCACGGCTATCCCCGAAATTCGCTCGATCGTTGTTTCCGTGCAATAACGTATCCAAGAATTTGCGCGTTTCGCCAGTACCGCCCAAAATCGAAATTTTACGAATTTCTTTCTTTTGAGCTTTTTTGTTCTTTAATATTTTAAGTTAGATTTTTACTATAATATTATAGTGATTATACTATTATTACGACACCACGGCCGCCCGCGACAGTCTCCTAGTGATGACGGTAAGTGTAATATAGACGCAGCGGGAAGATTTCTTTGTTTATCCCTTTCATGCGCGAGGTTTTGAGTATGCTCCACACCCTTGTTGCACGAATATATACATATATACATATAGACGAATATATATATTCACTACTATTTTGTATTTAGAATTATATCCAAATATAGATTTTAGAAATGATACAAAAAATTAAAATTGTAGGAAGTTACCAAAAGTGGGACAGTGTATTTCAATCTATTTTTGACGCAATATGTTCACAAATATAAGAAATTGTGAAAAAAGTAAGTTAACTGCTGTTTCTTTTATTTGTAAAATGCTTATGTTACCTTTCGCCGTACAATATAATATTTTACTCATTTAAACAAAGTGAGCATTAAATATGAACTAATCTAGATAACTAGATAATTAACCTAAATAGATAATTAGGACATTTTGATACATTATTTGGCATATTATAATAGATTCTATATTAGGCAGCTTTTTACTGGGGCATATTTACAGGGAGGGGGGATCATGGGATCACACTAAAAATGTTACTTTTCATGATAGTGAAATATAATTTAAAATATTTCTTTGTACCTATACCTATCACTACATTCATTTTTTTCATAAAAACATTCCGTATGAAGTATTGTGTGAGTACTATATGATTATAATAGACATCAATAGGTTGGTTATTATTAGGACCCGGAATTTTATGCATTGGCATATTTTTATATATTAAATTAAAAAGTAGCAAAAAGTAGCAAAAGTAGTAAGACGAAAATTTGTATCTTAATCTAATGTGTTGGTATGCGAAATTAAATTTGGTACATTTTTGCATATTTGGAACATTTCAAATTATTATGCATATTTTAGTATTTTTCTGAAATATAATACATATATAGAAAAAATATTACGAAGTTATTAATATTATTATTTATTACTTAGCGCATGTCCATAGTAAATTCCGTGAATCGTGAAGTTATATAATTTAATTTTTGTGTTATAATAAAATGTAAAGTTTGCTAAAAGTACCAATAGGATAGTAACTCTCCAGGTAACTTTAAGAATATTATAAAAATCCGCTTGATTTGTTTAAATTGATTTTCATTTGTGACTTTTTGTTTAGATAAGTGAGTGTTCAAAATACAATTTAATTTCAATACAACATACAGTTTCATAGAGTCAATAAAATATATAAAATACAGTTGATATATTTTAAAGTATATTTATTGTTGAATATTAATTATTTAATGAATTGTATACATTTTAAAATTAAATAAATTTAATAAATTATTAACATGCATTTTTTTTTGCATATTTTGAGTGCATATTTGAATGATAACCATCGTTAAATGCATGCATATTTCGTACGTTTTTAGTGCATAATTCCGGGTCCTAATTATTATAT